AAAGGAGGAATGTTGGGAGTCAAGAAACAGGTACCAGGGCAGCTAAAAGGCGTGGAGATGGAGACTGCCCAGGAAAAGGGAACAGTACAGCCTGGACCCTAGAGGGAAGCCCAGTCATGAGTATACAGTAAGCCTGGGGAGGACGGGCTGCCAGTCCTAGGCACAGGAGAAGCCCTCAGTGCTCCCCACGCTTAAATCCAGAGCAGAGACTTGTGCCTGATTGCGTGGCAGGCGGTCACTGCAGAAGAAAACCGCTGCATCGCCCCCTAGAACTTGGACTGCCGTGGCAAGGAAACTTCTCAAATGGATGCGGACACTTGTTTGAAACAACTGCTCTGAGGATCTGAATATAAGGAACAAAAAAGTCTGGGAGGCTGAGGACACCCTGCCCCAAGGTCTGGGTGGGAGACAGCCAGAGGCTGTGGCAGAGAAGGGAAGGGTCGGACAAGGACACACAGAAAAGTTTAGACAGCAGTGGGCTCTGGTGGTAAACAGCTTGGTGACTGGTGGCCTCGCCCTCCTCACTAAGCTCCGAGACCAGGTCCAGCGGATCACTAAGTTTCTGCAGCCTCTTCTCGTGGAATGGTTTACTGGTGGATGGGGTCTGAAGGCACTGAGCCCAAGCAGGCAGAGTGTCCCATTCCCCGAAGTCTGCCCCATCAAGTGTGGAGCTCTGTTTTCTATTCTGCACTCTCTGACACACTGGGAGGACATTTGCACTACACATACAACTGGGAGGGAGCTAATGAGAACCTCCTGTGCCCACTGGCTCTTTGGGGCTGGGAACAGCTCTCAGTAGGCAAAGAAGGACAGTAGGGTGAGATCCAGTGCAGGGACAGAGTGCTTGTGTAAGGTCCCCCAACATACCCTTAACAAGCCCATCCATGTACACCACCAACCTATACAGTGGGAACAGAAAGGAAAGGATAGATTGCAGCGATGGCCCCCACTCCGGACTGTGCAGACTCCAGCACCGGAGGCCTAGAGAAGCCTCTCCGATCCAGTTTGCCCAGTTCCTTTCTTTCACTTATTTTTCAGTATTGTTTGCATTTTATTTTTTTAATCTTTGCCATTCTTTTATCAAATTTTGTGTACATATTTTCCTTTATTTTGTAGTTAGCTTTTTAAATCTTGTTTCCTTTTTCGGCTTTTCCTTTATTAATGTATCTTCATTATTTCCCTTCCCTTCTCTCTCTCTCTCTCTCTCTCTCTCTCTCTCTCTCTCTC